TATGTCCGCAGTCTCTGGTCATCTCCTGTTCTATGTCCGCAGTCTCTGGTCATCTCCTGTACTGTGTTCGCAGTCTCTGGTCATCTCCTGTACTGTGTCCGCAGTCTCTGGTCATCTCCTGTACTATGTCTGCAGTCTCTAGTCATCTCCTGTACTGTGTCTGCAGTCTCTGGTCATCTCCTGTACTGTGTCTGCAGTCTCTGGTCATCTCCTGTACTATGTCTGCAGTCTCTGCTCATCTCCTGTACTATGTCCGCAGTGTCTGGTCATCTCCTGTACTATTTCCGCAGTCTCCTCTCAACTCCTGTACTGTGTCCGCAGTCTCTGGTCATCTCCTGTACTGTGTCTGCAGTCTCTGGTCATCTCCTGTACTGTGTCTGCAGTCTCTGGTCATCTCCTGTACTATGTCTGCAGTCTCTGGTCACCTCCTGTACTATTTCCGCAGAGTCTGGTCATCTCCTGTACTATTTCTGCAGTCTCCGCTCAACTCCTGTACTGTGTCCGCAGTCTCTGGTCACTCCTGTACTATGTCTGCAGTCTCTGGTCATCTCCTGTACTATTTCTGCAGTCTCTGGTCATCTCCTGTACTATTTCCGCAGTCTCTGGTCATCTCCTGTACTATGTCCGCAGTCTCTGGTCATCTCCTGTACTATGTCCGCAGTCTCTGGTCATCTCCTGTACTGTGTTCGCAGTCTCTGGTCATCTCATGTACTGTGTCCGCAGTCTCTGGTCATCTCCTGTACTATGTCTGCAGTCTCTAGTCATCTCCTGTACTGTGTCTGCAGTCTCTGGTCATCTCCTGTACTGTGTCCGCAGTCTCTGGTCATCTCCTGTACTGTGTCTGCAGTCTCTGGTCATCTCTTGTACTGTGTCTGCAGTCTCTGGTCATCTCTTGTACTGTGTTCGCAGTCTTTGTACTATGTCTGTAGTCTTGGTTCAGAATATTTTTTTTCTTGTTTTCCTCCTCTAAAATCTAGATGCGTCTTATGGAGCGAAAACTACGGTATATAAAGTTTGGGGGTTCTAAGTAATTTTCTAGCAAAAAAAACGCTGATTTTTTTTACATGTAGGAAAGAAGTATCAGAATATGCTTGGGGCTGAAGTGATAGTGATATTTACAATGGTCAGCTTGTATTCATATGGCTTAAATATTTTTTCCAAAAGAAACAAATCTGTTGCTCTAACTGCCTATAATGTGCTAGTTAGAGTTAGGCTTTAATTCAATGTGTCTCTTACTTAAAGCCTGTTTAAAATGACCTCATATGACACTACCCTGTCTCACAAGGTGACATGCCTGCTGTGCAGTTTCAACACAGAAAAGAATTGTCACCTTTTTTACAGGGAGTGGAAAAATAACAGATCTACTGGCATAATTAACAGGTAAAAAATATTATTGTGTCAATGTTAATGACAGACTGCATCATATACAGTATGTCATTATTTATTTTTCCAGAAGTTTCACTTTAACCTGCTCCCGGCCGGCCAATAGGTAAATGATGGCTGAGCGGGAGTCTCGTCAATCAAGGTAGGCGTCATATGACATTCTTCTGAAACACGCCTTGTGCGTCCCCGCTGGGCTGCACTGTGGTGAGATCTGTCACCGGCTATGTACCTTGGACACAGCCAATGACAGATATGTGTATCGACCCCGTTGCCAGTACCATGTGACCACTGTGACCAATCACAACAGGTCACATGACAATTGTAAACAATGGATGGTTTCCTTTCTTGCCATCCATTATATACAATTGTGTCACTGGCCATGATTGATCACAGTGATCACATGTAATGATTGGGCCAATCACAGCTAATCACAACAAAAAATCTGAATGAATCGATTTTGTTCAGTTAAATGCTTGCTTATAGCAAATAAATACTTTGCTATAAGCAATCATAATGTGTAAGAGAAAAAAAATACTGATCACTTCCCCACAGTAGTACAATGTTACTATGGTTACATTATACTACTCTGGTCACAGTGTTTTATGGAAAAACCTAGCGGTCTGAGTATGTCAGTATTTCTGTGCACAAAGCGGTACATTTTTTTGCATGGAAATATATTTTTTTTATTGTAGGCCTGTAATTTTTAGGAATAACTCACTGAAATATGTCCGAACAAGAGTCTAGTAAACATCCCGGGTATGTTAAAATTTGAAACACGAAATCATAAATTATAATATAATAAATAATCATAAAAAATAATAATGTAATGATAATAAATTTATTTCAATAATATAATCAAACCAAAAACACTGAAATTTGAAATATAGCACCAAGTTCGTACATCTCTGAGCAAAGTCACAAAATCGTTTTCAGTGTCTAATGACGAATTTCCCCACGAATCATTATCACTCAATTCTGCAAGTGGTTCTGATTTACTATCGCTGTTCTCTAGCCGGTCTAAAACCGCTTTTGACCTAAAGGGACGCTTTTTGGACGCCATGGACATTTCTCAGTGTCCAGGTAGAAAGAACAGTAAAAATGCAGGCAGGGCACAGGACAAAGCAGTAGGGACAAAATGTATGTGAAATGGTTTAATACAGTAATGTTTTACTATGAGATTTTAGTATATTTAGTGAATGTCACTTTTTCACATTTTTTAATTTCCCGCCATTCCGTCCCCCGTACGTCCCAACACTTGCAGGGGATGGAACCCAGAAGACAGATGCCAGCATCGGCCAGAGGACATTGCCGGGGACATTGCAGGAGGGACATTGTGGGAGCGCAGAACAAGGTAAGTGCAGAAGAGATTCCAGAGCAGCGCTGCAAGGTATTCCCGAGTGTAGCTCGGCTCGGGGGTTATTGAGCTAATAATCACGTAACCCATATACAGCAGTGTATTTACCACAAGGCAAATAATGTGTTTGTCTTGGGCGGCAATTTTCAGAGGGGCAGTGCCGGCCCCCGGAAAAAATGACACAAGTGGCAGGGATAGGGACCTGGCAGAGCTCTGCCATGGGACGCTGAGGCTGTGCGCTGCTGGAGGCTGCAGTGATAGCCGGCTGTTTCTTCTTTCACTCTAGTTAAGGTCAGTGCTTGAATTGGGTAGTTGCGGAAGGTGGTGGCAATGGGGGGCTGTTGTAATGGGTGGCGGAGGTTGGTGTTTTGATGGGCAGCGGTGGTGGATGGGGGGGGTGCTGGTGGGGTGGGGAGCGCCTGATTATAGTGTTGCCTAGGGCAGCATAAGAAATAAATACAGTGCTGCCCATATAGTATATCTGTGAATATACAATACCCTCGATCAACCATTGACTCATCTTCCCGTGACTGAAGACTGCTGCTCTGACAAAAGTGTTTCCACACTTAAACAAAGAAGTCCATAATAGAATTAAGCTGACACTCGGTGCAATCCATAAAACCAAGAATCTTTATTGGCTACATGAAAAAAACACATTAATAGTACACTAACATGTGTCCAGGCATGCTCTGTGATTGATGTGTCCTTCGGACATAGCTAATACGTTTTGGCTTTGAGGAAGGCTGTTATACCCAAAACATGTTAGAGTACAATTAAAGTGTTTTTACTTGTAGCCAATAAAGATTCTCATTTTTATGGATCATACTGCCAGCTTAATTCTATTATAGGACTACTTTGCTTTGGTGTGAAGAAATGCTGTAAAGAAAAAAATGCTGTCTGAGGGCCAGAAGATCACAGGCAACCAATATTGCATTTCAGCCTTGTCCCTTGCACAGAGAGATTCCTGGATACAAATGGAGAAACAGAAAAAGGGCGCACCGACCTAGTGCATTATTGTTTAAAATAATTTATTGAAGAAACAAAATATGTATCATACTCACAATGGACATAATAACACAGGCATGTCAAACTGAACAAGATGTATGATCCAAACAACATCTGAGTCCATACGATGGAACCCTGGATGACCAACTGGCTAACGCGTTTCGAGGACACAACCTCTTCCTCAGAGCCAACCTGCATTTTGCACTTTATTAAGTGCTATCTATCATCCATCATTCATCTGTTTTTTAATATACTCATTAGAGCTGCCTATCTTTTCTATTACACACTTTTGTGAATATCTAGCCCAATTGAGCATCCACTCGATTCATCACTAATTTTTCTCATTGGGGGGCTGATTGCTCAGCCAGGCATCTGTTTTACAATTTTTTAATACTGTTTTTTTTTTTTGTTTTCACACTTTGTGCTTCAGCTCAGCCAGGTGTTTATTTTAGCTTGGCCAGGTGTTTACTGTTACTGTGATTGTGTTTTATTTCTGATAAACGTTTCAGATATTTATTACTGTTCTTGTTGTTTTTTTACACTATATTCTTCAGCTCAGCCAGGTGTTGATTATAGGTTGGCCAGGTGCTCATTGCTTCTTGATGGTGTTTTATTTTTGATATGTTTCACATATCATTTGGATTTAGTGGTTCAGCCAATTTGCTTATTAACTATTAACTTTATTTGTTTCACAGATCTGTTCATTTACACATTGGGTGTTTAATTATTATTAGTTTGTTTTTTTGAGTCACTAGGGGGCAGGCAGCACTATTCTTGGGGAGCCCTGGTTCACACCAGAGTGACTTGTCATGCGATTTGTCAGTTCCAAATTACATCCTATTCACAATGGAACCCTTCAAGTTGGTGGTGGCTCCGACTAATTCGTACCGATTTTGAAAATAGTTCCTGCACTATTTTTGGTGATTTCAGGCATGATTTATTATATTAATAATTTATAACAGGTACTTAAATAGCGCCGTCAATTTATGCAGCGCTTTACATATATATTGTATATTCACATCAGTCCCTAACCCTCAAGGGGTGTACAGTCTAAAGTCCCTAACTCACATTCATACATACACATACTAGGGCCAATTTAGACAGGATCCAATTAACCTACCAGCATGTCTTTGGAGTGTTGGAGGAAACCGGAGTACCCAGAGGAAACCCATGCAGGCACGGGGAGAACATGCAAACTCCAGGCAGGTGCCATGGTTGGGATTGCATAGACATCTGTGCATGAAGTCTTGCAGATATC